AAGAGATTCGGTACTCTGATTAAAAAAAAATAAACTTATGCCTCTAAGTGGCAAGTACATGAAAATTCTACCCAAAAACAAAAGTTAGAAATTCTGATCTGCTATATTTATTCAGCCAGCAACACATTGATATGACTCCCTGACTGGCCTGCGTGCATGCAGACGTTGTGTTGCCTAACACAACATTTGCTTTATGCTGTGTACATGTTCAAATACCGCTATGGCTTAACTTCACCATTTAATGACCACGCAATATGTCACAGCAGACTTCCTCCTAAATGACATGTGTTGCCGCTGACTGGCACAAAATTATGTAATTCAGAAACTAAACTGTCACTACTGTAATGAACTGATTCAGATGCAGCATTTTTCTGGTGACAAAGATTCACGCTGTGACATGGGTTATGACACCACGTCGCAGTCTCGGTACCAATGTTGTGGGGGAATACATTGCCTAACTAGGCAGGCTGCAGTTTCCTCAAAAATGCTCGTAACCACCTACCAAACCATAAAGCAGTGTCATAACGCCAAGGACCAGAATATGTACGATGAATTTGTGCAGCATAAAACTGTTCAGTTCCTTGAAAATTGAAGATCAGCTTCTGAATCAAATCTGACGAACACAGTGTTACCCGGTGAAGTCAACCAATCAGTAATAAGCCAATTCTAAACGATTCTGACAATTGTATTACATTCAGAATCACTGGCTTGCCAGGCTTTGTCACCCATCCAGTACTCCGAAGGGAATACAACGTTTCAGAAAGTGGTTCTGTTTCAGCCCCCAAGTGAAAAGGCACGAAGCACCCACTTAGTCAGGTGCACTGGTAAGAGCTGATGTCAGTCAGTGGTCCACACTTGACCACGGACAGAGTCTAGAAGCCAGTAATCCTAAATATTATCAGCACTGAACATGACACAGCATAACAAGCAAGATCCAGCTGTCTGGCTTAATAGTTACATTACCACATACTGCCACATATTGTGTTGAATTAAAATAAAATGCTATTAACTCTGGAAACAGAAAATATACCCCACGAATGAGCATTAGCATACTAATTCAGTAATTGAGTGCAAAGTATGGAAACCACAATACCGCTCTTTCTGCATGAATGTACAAAATTCCAACATCATTCATATACATCCAGCAAGAGAAAATTAAGAACCGTTTCATGGAATGCCAAATCTTCAAAATGTATTTAAACACACTGTTTTAACATTTCAATATTTATAGCACACCTAGGTGCCCATCAGGGCTTGAATTAGAACTTCACAAGCATCTGCTCTAAACTTATCAGCAAGGGAATACAATATGATGGAAACAGCCCTACAGGATTCAGATGCATGGGGAAGAACTCAACAAACCTTCTGTGGCATTTACATTTTGAGTCATCATAAAAGACACAAGTTCAAAATAATGATTACCTCCATACTGCATCAGTCTATGTCCACAATGACTGTAGGGATACACAACAAACATGGTTTCAAATAGATTCTGAAGGGTTTTCATTTTGTCAGTCATCCAGTATTCTGAAAACTTGAGAAAACAAAATTTCGGGAAACGGATCTGTTTCCATCCTCAGGCGAGGAGGGAGACACCTACTATGCTGGGTCCCTTAAGAAACTGATAACCTCAATCACTACACAACCTAAGTCAGTGTAACTACAGCCACATAAACACCTCAGAGCAGACTTTGTTAAAGGGAGATAAGAGGAAATGTGCAATAAAAATTATGACAAAGCATGCAGACCTGAAACTAGGACAGAAAAGGTGAAAATTATATTCAATAAAGCAAGCCCATGGGGGGAAAGAAATGCATAGGATTAAATGAATTTTGTGAAACTCATGTCTCCACAGATGGCACAAAATTCTCCATTTAATTCTTTGCCATGGTTTTCATGGACTTGGTTTGTTGCCCAAAATGTTCACCTCCCTTTCTTAGTTTCAGGTCTGTGCATGCTTTACTGCAATTTTCATTGCATAGTTTCCTGTTATCTCCCTTCAACAAAGCCTGGTCTCAGGTGTTTACTTAGCTGTAGTTACAATGATGTGGGTTGTCCAGCGATTGGGGTTAGCTCTTTCTAAGGTGCCCAGCACAGTAGGTGCCTCCCCATAACAAGAGGGCAGAAACATGTCCAGTTTCCAAAATGTTGTTCTCCAGTTTTTGGAATACTGAACGATAGACAAAGCCCAAAAACCCAGTAATTCCATTATGTTTTCAACTTTGGATAATTTTGGGTTAGTATTAACCTACAGTGAGATTTACAGATGACCCATGTTTGTAGGGCCAAAAATTTAAAACTGGGAACAAAGAATGCACATCAAATGTGTTATATATATATGTCTGGAGCTAAATACCTCACATAAAATCATAAGGAGCAAACTTGTTCCACTCACAAATATCAACATGAGTACACTTTGTCACATCTAGAACCTGAAAACACTTCAAAGCATTAGCCATATGGCTATGTTTGGTGCACGTACTGTGGGGGGAATTATAAACATTTCAAAGAGACAACTTCTTTACTAACCATCACAACACAACAGATATCAAGGTCAGTGCCCAGCTATGGCTCTGCTACATGTTTCGGCTATCAGTAGCCATCATCAGGCAAATATACGGTTAACATATATATATGCCACTGAACTGCAGTACTAGTAAACTGGATACAATACTATTAAACATATAAAACACTTGATGTAAAAAATACAATAAATCAGATTATATAAAAAGAAACAGAAGTTATATGATAAACAAGAATAAAATTTTAATTTATGTTTTATAACACTGAATCAGTCATAATATGTATGTAAAGGCAGTCTTTTAGTGCAGTCAATTTCATATGTTACTTCTTACTATATGTTTCGGTAACATAGTGCCATCTTCACGTTCGTTATTTATGCTAAGCTATTACACTGTTTGCCATCTTGTGTCTTTCATAAAATTATTTCGAAAGTACATTATTCGTCAACTATAATAAAATCTGTATATACTAAACCTTGTTAAGATTATTCATCTGTATGTCTTAATTCAAACTCGCGTATAGTATGGTTCGTCCACTATGGGAGTTGTTTCTGTGTGTACTGTGTCTGTGATGTGTCCTTCCTTTTTGGCTGCGAGCGTTGTAATGTTACCATCATGAGCCTCCTATAAAATCTTATATACAAAAAGAAAAAATATAGAATATTCCAATTTGTCCATGGGAACGTACGAAATTACAAAACCAACGACTGATTCAATGTTATGAAACATCAATTAAAATTTTATTCGTTTTATACTATAACTTCTGTTTCTTTTTAAATAATCGATTTATTGTATTTTTTACGGCAAGTGTTTTATATGTTTAATAGTATTGTATCCAGTTTACTAGTACTGCAGTTCAGTGGCATATATATATGTTAACCGTATATTTGCCTGATGATGGCTACTGATAGCCGAAACATGTATCAGAGCTGTAGTTGGGCACTGACCTTGATATCTGTTGTGTTGTGATCATTAATAAAGAAGTTGTATATTGTAACACAACAGGATGCATGAAATGAAAATTTCTAAGAGACCTTACACACAATTAAACATATCCACAACTGTCACAAAGGATTAACTTCAGAAGAGTTTAACTCTCTCAGATGTGTAATGATCCCACTTATCCATGGTCTTCCTTTGTTCACATCAAAGGAAGCAGCAGAAATGTGGGTTGAATAAAGCAATGAGATATGGCACAGGCTTTCTTTACTTTTACTGTTAATAACCATAATTTAAGTGCAAAAACAGACATTTGATTTTCCACTACATGGCCAGACAGTGCTGACCTTCCAGCTGTCATGCATCTTTGTTTACAGAGCAGTCCTGAAGAATGGTGACATGAGCTGTTTAAAAACACAATATTTTAAGAAAACACCAAATTTTGTCAGAATGGGGGATCATTATTTCTGAATATTACCTGCGCCAATGAACTTATTAACAGTGAAGAATTTGATGTTTCATACATGCCCCAATTTCTTTAAAATACTAATTACTGGAGCATACATATGTAACTACAGTTTTAATAATGACCTTCAAGGTTTTTCAGTATTTAATCACATAAGATCAAGACATGAAAACTTAATTGAAATTATATGGTGACTATTTCTGTAATCAATCTGCATCCAAGAGAAGGAAGAGTGTGGCAACTGTTCAAGGTGTATGTCAGAACTAGACAGGAACCACCACGCAGAGATATCTTGCAATATTCTCGTCCAGACTTCCTGAAGAAGTAACACTTAGGATGACTCAGAACACTATGGTGAATTCTCTTTTATTGTTCAAAGCCATGTAACAAGATGCCGTATACTGTGCAATAGGATTGGCATCAAGGACTTCGAGGTTCTGATGGTAATGACCACGAAAGTTCTATCTTATGGAATGAGACGCTGTGTAGTAGAAGCTTACAAGCATACTGGAGGAAAGTACTGCTTCCATCTTCAGGGTCAAAGAGTATGCTGAGCATGCGAGCAGCCTACTATCTGGTACAAGTTTATCGATGTCTCAGAGAAACGCACTGCCCGTATGTTCAGGGTTGAATATTAAGCAAAACAGGCAAATAACAAGAATATCTGTTTGCTTGCTCAACTTACTCTTTGACCCTGAAGATGGAAGTAGTATGTTCTTCTGAAATTTGGCAGGCTTCTACCAAACTACACAGCAGCACATCCCCGAAGGTGATGCTCCCAATGTCAAGAGAAGTAAAAAAATGTGGAAAGAGCATGGCCAATTTTAAGACAGTCCCAGAGGGAGAGAGGGAAAGTGTCAGTTTCGATAGCCAAACCTATCAAAACAGGAGGTCTCCAGGCCTAAGGTGGACTCCAAACAAGTTGAAAAGTGCAATGTCTCTAATTTATTATACTGTAAAAGGGAACATTTCAGTGGGAGCTTCAGGACTTCACAAAGTCTCCTGATGAGAGGGAATGATGTTTTGGGGCAATCTGGCACTTACATATGACTAGATGTACAACAGATACTTACTTCTGACTTTTCACTTGTTTAATGTGATGAAATACATTGATTACATCACGAATTCTTCTAGGAGCTTCTTCGATTTTTGATGCCAAACAAACACAACCCATAGCCGTTGTTTCCATCGCATGACGAACAAATGACTTAGAATAATAAAAACGTTGAAACAGAACCTGCCCTGTAGCCATTGCTACCTGAAACAGAAGGACATCTACTATTACATCTATGTTTATATCATGGGCAAATTCCCACTGCGTATTCCAGCAGTACCAACTAATTCTATGAAGATGAATCTTTTCTTGAGAAACCACTGGCTAAGAATTTCTCACATTTTACAGAATCTTAACACTTTGCGGACCGCGCACCCTTTAAAAGGTTTTTCGCTTTTAAACATGGCGGACCGTTCGCATGTTAACAGGTTTTTAGAACACGATAAGTTGCAAGACGCCATACATCGCTCTGGCGCCACCTACATTGCACGCAACCGCCTGCAGATGCGTGATAAGACTCTGGAATGTTTAGTTAGCAGTCAGTAACTTGACCTTGCTGTTTACTTAACCGACTATAAAGGAAAATGCTTTGCCTTCTTCAAGCTGTGTGTATCAGCCAGTAGCTAGTGGGGAGAATGGATCAAGGACAAATTCTCCTCCGATGACCTAGCTGACCTGCCTTGAGAGATGCGTAGTAATCCATGACAATCCATTGTCATTCAGACAGTGACAGGGCACAACAAAGAATTGTGGCCACAGACAGTAAAAGTGACAGTAGCTCCGACAATAACGCGGGTAATAACATTGCGCATAGTAACATTGCGGGGACAGCAAAAAATCTAAAAAATCTAAACCCTGATCCAAAATTGAAATACAAAGCATTTCTGATGAACGTGGCAAAGGCCTGGGCTACAGTCCAGATGGTGGCGGCAGAACCAGGGTCACACAAAGACTTAGTACGACCGGGCCCATCAACTCCCACCCCACGAAGGCCTCATGTGGGCCCCCAGGGCGACTCTTGAGTGATATGCGGAAAAATACCCTCATGAAAATTGTGAAGAGTGAACATTCCAAGGGGAAGAATATTTCTAGGCAATGCCATGTTTGCACAGTTCACAAAAAAAGGAGTATGTCTACATTTGCAAGTTCTGTGTAATGCCACTTCACAAAGGGGAAAGTTTCCAGAAATATCACACCCTCAAGCACTTCTAGGAGCATTGGTAAGTGTTCTCCAAAAATTTTAGTTCAAAAAACTAATTAGGAGATTTTATATTAATTTTTAATGTGAACAGTGCACAAGTTAGGGTAGTATATTTCAAAATGCCGGTTCCCAGGGTGATTTAAATATTTAAATCACTGGTCCGCGAAGTGTTAAGGTTCATTACCATATTCAAAAGAATCATCCGCTTGTCACCATCCTGAGACAGCTCAATCCAGTCCACACTGCCTGACCCTATTTCTCCTAAGACACATTTTGATATTATCCTCCTTCACCCTGCATGCTACACACTCTGCCCATCTCATAATCGTTGATTTCATTATTCTAAAAATGTTTGGTATGGACTTCAAAATATGGAGCTCCTCAATATACAATTTGCTCCAACCTCATGTTATTCCATCTCTCTTAGGTCCAAATATTCTCCTCAGCACCGTGTTCTAAGACACCTTCAGCATATATTGCTCCCTTAATGTCACAGACGAATTTTGATGTGCACGCACACACACAGCAGTGCCAAAATGCTTTATTTTCTTTATATAAATTCAAGACTACAGCCCTTGTTTCGAGACCTTCGTAACTACTACTGCACAATAATCTTAATATGCTGTCTTGCCCAAAAGTGGCACAAACGTATAAGCTGTCCCAGATGATAAAAAATTCCATGGCCCCCCCTTTAAAATATAACTACATCAAACTAAATACTTTTCTTATAAAATGTAGTCCAATGGAATACTAACACCATGGCGCAGAAAGCACTCATTTAAATTACAGTAAGCAGTATTTAAATAAAGCTTGCAATTATATAAATATAAACTTTACTTCGATATACAGACTCCATACTAATATAAATTCCATATTAAATATACAACTTCGAAACATAAACATGTTAGTAAATATGAGAATGGCAAAAAGGTGCACAAACAAAACTTCAATCAAATATAAACCTTGTGCTGCACCATTAAACTCACATAAAACCATTCCACAATTTCCTTCACGGTATACCGCTATCTCCTAAAAGGCAATTGGCCTTGGCGTTAGGGGAAAAATGTACTCTATTCCTTTATCAACATATTAATTCAATAAAAAGAGTAAAAAAGTTACCTGTGGGAGTTTCAATAGTATACCAGCAGTCTGAATTAATTCACAACCTAATATCCTTAAATCCGTTTCTGTTTCTAGATCCAATCCATCATTTTGAGATGGAGTAGGACTAAGCTTGTCCTCTGGTAAAAGACAGTTTTTCAGATTCAGTACAATTCTACCGTACGGTTTTGTTACTGGTTTAACAACCGAGGAGCTGTGATTATCTTGCCTCGGTGTACCCATATTCTTTTAACGAACAATTAACACCTTTTTACACAAAACACCTTCCACATTCGTTTCCCAAAAATCACACTCAAAATGTCGGAACTGCGTCGTTTCACCCAAGCAACACTGAGCTTCTTCACTTTATGCGTAACATTACGCCTGCTCGAAACGACATGGCAGCCAACATGATGCACCAATATTATACTCTCTGACCATTGGATATTACTTGTATTACTTGCGTGTATACCAGAAGTCTATTCAATTGTATAATGATAGTCACGATTGAAATACAGAGGTGACATCAGTGTGCTATTGTTTTTTGTATTCCTAGTGGGGTGGAAATAAGTCCCTTGTACTGCGGTCGTTTCTGGCCTATTGTACCAGCCCCAGATAGATCAGGGTGATTGTGGAGCAATTGGTAGAATGAAGATTGGCAGGGGAAACCGAAGTACTCGGAGAAAACCTGCGCCAGCGCCACTTTGTCCACCACAAATCCCACTTGACCAGACCCGGGATCGAACCCGGGCCGCCGCTGTGGGAAGCCAGCGACTAACCGCTTGAGCTATGGCGCGGCCTGTATTTGGTCCTGAAAAATTTCCCCAAAATATATCTAGTATATCAGGAGGAATAATGAAACTCTTGAATAACTCAACATTATTTCTGACAGAGGAATAGCTATACATATACGCAATGGTTTTTCTGTAATCATTACTCTCTACGATTTGTCAAGAAATTTATCTCACCTCTGTACGATCCGTGTTTATGCGGGGAATTCTTATGATTCTGAATTGGCTATTCTGTGTAACTTATCCTGGAAAGTTGTAGTATCATCGTAAGGGAAGAAGTTGGGTTGTATCGAATACTGTAACAGATTTTTCGAAGCTCATATAATGGCAGTGAACAGTCTGGCAGCTTACAACACGTATGGGGGACCTAAAAGCATTCCTTTTGTACCCTATGCCGATAATGGTGGAAGTGTGGTTGCTATTGCTGGAGATGATTATGTCTTGGTAGCATCAGACACCCGCCTGAGTAGTGGGTTTTCAATATATACTCGTGAACAATCCAAGCTATTTCGACTTTCGGATACAACAGTGCTGGGGTGCTCGGGGTGTTGGTGTGATACGTTGACTTTGGCCCGCATTCTGGAGGCAAGATTGCAGATGTATCTCCACGAGCACAACAAGCCGATGTCCACTCCAGCTGTCGCTCAGATGCTGTGCACCATGCTCTACTACAAACGATTCTTTCCATACTACGTCTCCAATGTCCTTGCTGGGCTGGATGAAGAGGGTAAAGGTTGTGTGTATAGTTATGACCCCATTGGCTACTGTCAACAAACAAAATTTAAGGCAAGTGGGTCTTCTGGGGCGCTGCTTCAGCCACTACTTGACAACCAAATTGGATATCAGAATATGGAGAATGTAACTCCTGAACCGATTTGTATGGAGAAGGCAATGGCAATTTTGAAAGATACATTCATTTCTGCTGCTGAGAGGGACATTTATACTGGTGACAGCATTTTCATCAATATCATCACAAAGGATGGTATACAGGAGGAGAAGTTCACCTTGAGGCGGGATTAATATATAATTTTTAATTAATATTTTCTACCTGGAAAAATAAGGAAGCAGAAATTAATTTTCAAAGAAAAGGGTTTCAATAATAAACTTGTAAAATGCAAAAAAGAGAGTCAGTCAGTAAGCTTGTCTTCTGAAAACATTTGAATTAAATATTGTGTAAACCAGTTATTACAGATTGTCATGTGAACAATAAAAACACCGCTGTTTATTCATGCAACAGAATTATGTTGATATATTTTCAAAGCAGGGGTGAGCAGACTGTAGCCCAATGACCCAACCAGAACCCGCAAAATAGTAACTCTTGCAAGAATAACTGGTCTAAGACATTTCCGACAGAAGTCATCATCTTGCTTTTTTGGGGGTGGGAGGGAAAGCTCAGTGGATTAAAAGTACATCTCATGGAAGTATTAGTACCCAGTATGGCTCAAGGGTAGTGACATATTAATGGCTGACCCAAGGAACTTTAAAACTTTACTGCCATGTTTGTGCTCCCAACAATGGAAGCTTATTTAGGGGGGGGGACTGTCTAACCGTCAGAATATATTTATTTTTAGAAACAAAAGCAAAACCATAATGTTGTGAATGTGGAGGCAAATTCTAAGGTCAAGCTTCAAATCTTGTTTTAACAAAATTCTAAGATTGGTGGCATTAGTGTGGTATGTTTTGAAGTTATTTGGGTCACCAATTAATATGTTAAGTACTGGACAGGTTACTTAACAGTTTGTGTATACTTCCTGTAAGAAACCTTGGATGAAAGTTCTCCCTACCATATCCCCAAGTCACAAGCCATACTAAAACAGACAGAAGCATGATGTCATGTTCAGTATGACATTCTGGCTTCAATAGAAATAATTTGTTTCAGGCTTACTCACTTTCCCTGCTCCAATAATTGATTTCAGTACCGGCTACGCCCTTAACCCTCTATGTATTAATAATGGTCCTCATTCTTGGGCTGCAACCGCTCTACGCCCCTTTATCTTCTGCTGTTGTTTGTTGGGTTCCGGTGGCAATGAAAGTCTTCCTCAGGATCGTTTACGGGTCTTGGATTATGAGACAAAGGGTAATGATAATGCGACTGCACACATTACAATTGCTTACTGGTTTAATATATTATTTGCAGAACACGTCTATCCGTCGGAATCACCAAATTAGAAGTCCTCGAAGCCTGGACCATATCCTCGAGTTTGGGGACATTAATTCCCCCTCCCTCGCAGATATATTCCATCATCGCTTCCCATTCGATCATTCAAACGGAAGGCGGGTGTTACAAATTTAAAGCCTCCAATACCCTTCTTACAAATTTTATCTTCGAAGCCGCTGGTCCAGCGATATTGCCAACGACTTCTGAGACCTCGCTGGACTGGAGCTGCAAAGTGTAATACGAGTATGTCAAACGATAAGCGGCATCCTTTACTCATAATTTATATTTATTTTGGCTGCACGTAACAACTGACACTATGGCACCACTATTCCGTGCCGCAGGGATACGAGTGTCAGCTGTTTATACTCCGCTTACACCAAGTCTTACTCTTAATATTCCAATTTAATCACTAGCTTAAATTGGACGACTTCAGGGCATAAAGTTCACAGAGCTACCTCACACATCTATTCAACAATTTCAGGGCAATTTTACCCTTTTGGGCATTTAAATAGGCTTGGAGTGCCATAAGGTATCAACACTTGCATTGGTACCCCTGGCTGCCAGCCCCGGTGTTCCCAGGAGCCAGGACAGCTCAGTCATCATTGAGATCAGGCCAAAAAAAATTACAAATCAGGGTTTGGTTCCTGGCAGGGACAACAAAGTTTTCTCTCCTCCATGGTATCCAGAGTAGCTCTGGGCCCAGTCCACCCGCACAACACACTTGTACCAGGGATGAAGCAGAAGTTGAAACTTGCCACTCATCTCCATCCTAAGTCAAGGTTAAGAATGTGTGGAGCTTTACCTCCACTCCCTCATGTCTTGATGGTGTGATGCTTAATAAAGCACATGAGAACATTACATTTGTCTTCGGATCCTAGTTCTGACAGGTTTAAAATCCCCTTTTCATGGATGATAAGGACTAAACATCAAGTAAGTTTGTTTCTCTAGTGGGTTATTTTACAATGCTGTCCATAAGTAGACTTTTGATATGATATATGACTTTTGATATAACTTTTTGATATGATGGCCCCCATTTTTGTTTCCACAAATCCTTATGCCCCCCTTCCCCTTTACTGAAATAAATGTAATCCTTTATGATTAAATCCAGCTAATAAGAAATCAGGTGAGTATGACATTAAAAACTGATTCTCTTATGATGTCACACTACTCATAGAGCCTCCGTCCCACTGGGAACCACTGATTTGGACTGTGCCATGTCAGATGCACTACCACTTGAGCCAACTTCTTAGGTGACACGGGAGGAACTGCAGCTAAGAAACAATTAAATTTCACAAGAAATATAATTTAATTAAAAAAGCTCTACATAAATTGTCTTTGAGACAATACATTCAGTTCCACAATCACTACAGGTATCCCCCCCTCGACTTGAACAGTTTTGACTTTGTGAATTTCACATTAACCTGATTTCATACAATTTTCTTTTAATTCACCTTTTTAAGAGATGGCTAAAATGTAAATAAATTATGTCTAAAAGACAAAAAAATTGTAAGTGGCTAAAATGAATGGTATTAAAGTTAAATGAATTACAAATATTTTCAATGAAAACTGAAGGCAGTGGAAAGAAAAAGGACTAAGACAAATGTGAAGTTAATGTGACCACTCTTTGAAGTGCAACCACATGTTACTAGAGTAGGGGATACCTGTATCCAACTGCATGTTACATTTAAGAATTTATGACAAAAGAAAAAACTTGAACTGGAAAGCAATGGCTAAGTTCCTGAGTAACTTGTTAGGATGGCTCAGGACAAACAGCCTTAGGAATCAATACTCGCCTGCAAAAGACAAGAGCAAAGCATGAGACTTTAGGTTAAGATGGTGGTATCAAGATTACTGTCTTCTGGCATCAGACCTCGTGCAGTTTGGTGTCAACATTTCCAAGGGACATACTGTCTCTTGTCCCTGTCTTCAGAATACTGACGGCAAAATTAACAGGAACATTCCTGTGACATCTCACTGTGAATGCATCACAGGAAGACAAAACTGTTGGAGGGAAGCACCCTTCTGTCAATGTTTCTGTCTAAGTGCTCTTCCCTTCTGAACTGTAAGAAGTAAGTAAAGTAAAGCTATCCCTGTAACAGGCTGTGGAGGCCTGAGGAGATGTTGAGGTTCCCACATTTTCTAGACAATTGGCTCATAGATGGGGACAAGGTTGTCAGCCCTATGCCCCAGCTGCCCTTTACCCCCCAAGAATATTCCTGGTACTCATTTCTGTTAGAGGCTGAGTCAACCCCAGGGCCATAGTGCGGCCAGAAGGATTAGGTCAATTGAAAAAAAATCCAATGACCTCATCGGGAGTTGGACCTGCGACATTCTAGCTTGTAGCAGAGTGCCTCCACCAACTATGCTACCACCTGAACTGTGCCAAAACTAATGGGATGACTGTTCCCTGTGAGGTTCTCACAGCAGTGATGATGATGTGCATGGTTTCTAAGCTGCAAGAGAGCCTGACATTTCAGAGGAACATATCACTGCCATCTTCAGGGATGAAGAGTAAGCCAAGCAAGAAACCAGCAGAAGTGGGTGGCAAGATGAGCTTGCAGAATGCTTCTTGCTTCCCTTATTCTTCATCCTTGAAGATGGAGGTGATATGTTCCTCTGAAACATCAGGCTGTCTCTGAACTACTAGCACATGATGTTACATCACACAAACAATGAAGCATATGAAGAGTAGTAGCTTTTGGATGTGACACCATTCAGTCCAGCAGAAGTTCATCACTGCCTCCTTCCTCAGTGTTGCTCTGCGTGCTGCCTACGTCTTGCTGGATGTCTGATTGGACTACCCTTGACCATGAAGATGGAGGCAGTACATTCCTCTGTAATGCTGGTGAACTTCTACCAGACTACATGGCATCACAATCCACAGCGATTACAGCATACAGAACTATACTTCTACCATCTGTTTTGTATCAGTGTGAAAGTTGGTTTGACAATAATGCAGAGACTAAAAGTTTGTGACAAAGGTGTGTTTCCATCAGCCTGTTTTCATTGAGGAATGTGAGGATCAGAACACTACCTCTGCTTCCATCACAGGAGCTAACGGAACCAGCAGTTCTAATTTCTGGGGACAGAGATCAGCTCCATCCAGTGGAGCCAACAGAGCAGTGTCAGCTTCTGAAACAATGGTTTTCTGTAACGAAAATGATGCTGTGAAAAATGTATAACATGTCTCGGTTTAACCTATTGAGGGTGTCTGAAAACAAAGATCCGAGAAAAATATCTAGACTTAGGGGAGAGGAAGTAACAGGAAAACAGTAAAAGCCACACAAAGAGGAGCTTGATAATTAAATAATGCTAGTGGGGCAAATGAATAAAGGATGAGATGGGCAGGACCAGTCACATACTGGAAGCCCAGCAACCACTGATTATGATGGTTACAGTATGGTCACAGTGATGCTCACTGATGAATGTCAATCAGTGGGTCACTTTCTGCAGTTAGAAACTCAACCACTGCACAGTATTTACTCTGCAGTTGTATCACTTCTTCATGCTGGGTCAGGCACTTCTGGCAGTAGAACTATGTAAGTTCACGTAATAAAGTGCAGAAATGTTTAACAGAATGAGTAAAGTTTAGTTCACACTGCTACATGGTGCCATTCCTTAGAAAAAAAGAAGAGGTATTACTTTTCAGCATGCTTCATGGAATGAGCCTTAAGAAACAAGAGGACAGGTTGCAGACTGCTGATGTGGCTTGTGCGTGAATTTCTTGACATGTCAAATTACTGTAGCATGTAGAGCCATTACTATGCAACAACCATGAGATAATCAAATATACTTGCAAAATGTTAAATGTATGTATGTATACCACAGCCATTTCTAGGCAACGGCTCAATAAACATGATCCTGCAGCAACAGATATGCATGCAACAATAGAGGTACTCTTGGAAGTGGTGTTTTCTACTCAGTCTGTGCAAAGGGTTTATAAGGAAGATAACTGAAGTAAGAATAGTTCAGTTGGAAGGGAGCCACCATTCAGAGAGGACTTGAGCCTGAGTAACAGACTGAGAACATACTGTGTGCTCTAGTAAACTGTTAAGTGTGATGATCAGCGATGGTGCTAAAATTAAGTGTAGTTACGAGTCATGTGTTAAAGTGGCCAACAAATCCAATCACCAACCTGAAACACCTTCAAGAGTCGTTCTCACGGTCTCTATGCTTGCAGATTTCTTATATATTTTTTCTTCTACCCTGAAGATGGAGGCGATACTTTCCTCCGAAACGTCCGTTAACACCACATATACACGGTGCCAAATCCCAGAAGACTGCTTTCTTCACCTTCAAGAGTCATTTCTACACATGGCATTACTGTCAAGTGCTGAAGGTACTCGTGTCTATACTGTACTTACCTGGTCTGTCCCCCAGGACAGGTAATCTGGACGTGTGGCTGCCTGATATTCATCCACTAGCTCCTGGACAACTTCCCTGGAATGGTCCAGCTCTTCCAGATTGTCCTTGAACATTGACTCCTTACGAAACTGCTCCAAGAATGCCTCTCGTTTCCGCAGTTTGTCATATTGTTGCAGTGCACGATCGAACAGCTGCGTGGAACAGAGCAGGTTAGGTCAAGTAGACATAGAGTTCAAGCCTCTCATGTCAGACTCACTAAACCATGGGCCACAGAGGGTGATGTTCCTGGAGGTCAAGGTTCTGGCACATTTTTCTACACTTTAACCTGCATTGCTTTTGTTATAAAATCAATAAAGAGGCATTACATAAAACAGTATTAAACATTTAAACTATTAAAAATAAATTAATATTTTGCCATGGATTGCTGAAAGTTGCTATTCCAGCATCAGACCATCACAACATGTGAGCACTATGCCAATGGGTGTAATGTAATATGATTGTAAGTCAGGAAGTCGCAGTTCAAGGTAGACTGGTTGGTCATGTAAAACAAACTGATAGAATGAATATACCAAAAAGGGCATTAAAATTAAAATTTAAATGCAGAGACATAAGGGTTGGCCCAACGTGCACGTATAGGAGAGGATCCCCACCGCTGCAGGTGAATGTGCTGCAGCTGTTTCTAGATTGTACAGAAGAGTAAAAGTGTTGCAATTATTTGTAATTACGAGTAATCAGCATCCAATAAATTCAATTACCAACCTGGACCCTGTGTCTAGTCTAGTCACTAACATGTGACAATATCGGGTCTCTGGAACATGGCAGTGAAAGGGTTAGAATGGATCTAAATATCTGAACAAGGACAGACTTACCGATGAAATGTTGGTATGATTGGCTAGCATTAGGCCAGACACACGATGTGCACTCTGAATGTACGGGGACTTGCGTGATAGGGCCACTTGGATACTTGCTGGTCCCCAAGGTATAAACTGAGCTAGCTTGCGTTCACGAATTCGCTGCAAAGACTTGTGAACTTGTGTCGGGTCAACTTCACCCTGTAACAAGGAATGTGATATTACAGTGCTGTAGAGGTTCCCTTTGTTTGGCAGAATAGTTAATATTAGAAAAATCTGTATTCTACCCACACAGTGTAATTTTGTATTGTACGGTTCTCACAATAAACTGTGATAATTTACCTAAACAGTGAAGCAGTACTTCCTGTGAGGTAGGAATTTAAATTTTAAATAATACTTAGAAGAACTTCAGGCTTCAAAGGCGTAAACATTTGAAGCAGACTAACTGAAACAAACTAATTAGCTCTTGGGTTACAGAACCCCGGGGTTAAACATTGCTAATATCAAAAACTGCCAGTGGACACAATCTTCAGCTAGATGCATCCAGCTCCCATCTCACTACATGGTTCCCCAGGGTTCAACTTCCCATTTTCTGAGAAATTCCAACACCTAAAGTGTTAGGTTTATTCCGCATCTACGCCATTCTAGCTACATGCCAGTCCCACTGTTCTACATTTCAATTTCCTAGCAATACTAGGCAACCTGCAGAAATATTAACATTTACACATGAACTGCAGCTCAGTTCCCAGCTGGGACAGAAAGATTTTCCTTTTCTCTGTACCATCCAGACTGCTCTAGGGCCCAGAGGCTATTTCCTGAGGCATGAAGATGACCACTCACCTCCATCTATGGCCAAGTTTAAGAATGAGGCTGCTATAGCTCCTCCACCCCACATAATTTCATGGAGTGGTGTTCAATTTATAAAGCACAGGGATATCTTTACCTTTATATTCCAGATGTAGATTATATGTTCTTTGGCATTCATTTGAAATAACACTCCTCCCGCCAAAGAACCTTAACATGGAAAGGATTAAGCATATATTACTACATTCATTCTGGTCATGAAAGTGGTAACCTCAATCGATCAGTATGGTTTCCCAGCATGATTTCTGATTTGAAGGTTATTAGCAAATCTAAAGACATTTCATGTACAGACATCCAATGAAGGGAAGAGTAACGTGACGTAATACCTGAATGATGTTGAGAATAGAGATATAGCAGTGAGCAGCATTACGGTCGTGAGCCGTTGACACCATCATGTTCTTGGGCTGCAGAAGGCGCCGCATTACATCCAGCACTGTTGTTTTGCGCACTGATGCAGCCTGTGACAGTTCCATGTAAATCAACTAAATAGTGGCAACAGCTGCTTTTTTAAACTGATCCACATTTAATTTTCACATCAAATTTACTGTTATGTATGAGAGAACTGTTGTGGCTAACAATACCTCTTGGTCAGTCGTGAGTGGGGTGTAGCCTGTCATCAGGAAGTGCAGGCGAGGTGTGGGAATCAAGGGTGCTATCAGACCAATCAGATCATTATTCATATATGAGGGGTACCTGGAAAGAAAGGCAACGCATAAAGACACTTTCCACATGGGCATTCCTCTTCCTGTCCTTCTTCAGGCACTTCCACTTCATGTGGGCCATCATTCACTAGATACCACAAATTCTCCATCTCTGTTCCCTTATGAAGGAGAGACAGGCAGCCTCTAGAATCAATGATACAAACTTGTGTATTGCCAGGTGACCCAAGTAACTTTAAAGGTTTCTGTTATGCTGTCCAGCATGTTAGCCCAGCCGATCATCAAAATGTATCTGTAAAAACATGACCTAAAGCCTAACTTCATAATGTCTCCAACAACAAACCTGCAACGTTAGCCTTCTGGCTTTGTCTTAAAAAAACTATCAATGAACCTACTAAGGACAGGCTTTAGGCAGCACTAGCATGGTAGAACTTGGCAGTAAATTTTGGAGTTCCTTGGGTCACCCCTTGACTTATAAGTAAGGGAAAAGTTGTGTCTCTTTTAACTAATTAAGCACCATGCCATGAAGACATATGGCAAAGCAGATGTATAGATGCACATATTCTTGACCTCAGCACTAGTTGGCTGTGAGTGGTCAGCTTCATGCCCCAGGGAAACAGCCCCTGGTGCCCATTAGACAGGAGGCTGGGTGGGCCCTAGAACCAGTCTGAACTGTGTAGAGAGAAGAAAAATCTTACCCTTACTGGGACTTGAACTCCTTTCCCTCGACAATCCAGCCCATAGCCAATTGCTATACTGACTGCACTCCACCATTTTATGTTAACTTATTCACACACCTGACTGCCCAACAATTCAAGGCATGCTGTAACTTTAGTTTCAAATCAAGCAGAGAGTGAAAATTGTGAGCTTCACTTACCGGAGCGTGGTTGTGCTGACTGACATGATGGTGGACACCAGAGTGTTGATCTGAGTGAATGAAGGGTTCTGAATATGCAGCCTGTCAGTTGCTATCCTGTTGAGTGCCGTGTTGTCCAATACGACAACACAATCTGCACTCTGTGTCAGTCGCTTCAGAGTCAGCAGGGAATTGTATGGCTGTACAACAACATCACTGATCTCGTCCTGGTTTGGGAACACACTGTACGTCTCGATAACCTTCTTGGGAAAGCGGTCTGTTAGCTTTTCCAGAAGGTAAGAGCCCATGCCTGAACCAGTGCCACCAGCAATTGAGTGACAAAGCACAAACCCCTGCAAAAGATAACCAGACCAGCAAGTAGCCTCATTGTTAGCAACGTTATGAGACACTGAGACTGCCACGTATTCTCGACAATTGGCTCAAAGATTGTGGTGAGGTTGTCAGCTGTCCTTTACCTCCAGGAAGATTCCTGGTGCGGATTTCTGTTAGAGGCTGAGTCGACTCCAGGGTCATAGTGCAGCTGGAAGGATTAGGTCAACAAAATCCAGTGACCTCATTGGGAATCAAACCTGCAACCTTCTGGCTTGTAGCATAGTGCCTCAACCAACTACACTACAGCATGTATCGGATAGTTTCTGGGCTGTTACTGTTGTAACTGCTTTAGTGAAAGAAGATGAGAGGGGAGGCCAAGGTCACACTTTTGCAAGCCTACTGCGTCAGTCTGCTATGTGATACCGTACTGTGAACATGCACTGTTTTTACACGAGTACTTTTCTGACTTCAAGCTTCAGTTTGTCTGTGATGGATGGCAAAATCAAGCAACGTCTGCATCAAGTTTTGTGTGAAGCTCAGTAAATCCATTACCGAAACCCTTGAAATGATTCATGAGGCTTTTGGAGGACATTCTTTAAGCTGGACAGTGGTTTCTGAATAACATTCACGTTTCAAGGCCAGTTGAGTGTCAGTTAAAGATTACAAACATTCAGACTAACCAAACACCAGCAAAATGACAGACAATGTTTAAGAAATTTGAGAACTCATCCATGAAGACTGTCACCGAACAATCCATGAGTGGGCAGACACCACTGGGATCAGTTATGGAGTTTGCCAGGTTATCTCAATAGAAAATTTGAACATGCACTGCATTGCCACAAAGTGTGTTCCCTGACTCTTGGCAAAGGATCACGAGCATTGGTGTGTAAACATGGGTCTTGAGCCATAAGAGAAGGCTCATGAGGACCAAACTTTTATCTCTAGGATTATAAAGGGTGACAAAAGATGGATTTGCAGTAAAGCTCCAGAAGCAGAGCAGCAGTCATCACAGTGGAAGAGCCCATAATCACCAAGAGCAATATATATATTCATTCATTCATTTATTGTATATTCCATAAATCCATATACATAGATATAGAACCAGTCACGTAGTTAATATAGTACAATACAATTATAAATATATATGTACAGCTTATAATCATTATAATACATAAAAAACATGTGTTAAATTTACAGTCTTACATCACTATACATAAAATTATGCAATATTAAAATTGTTTATGCTATTATCCTTATTTCTAGGCAAATTTGTTACTAAAGAATTCATTACCTGTGTAAAAGAAACATGTGTTAAATTTACAGTCTTACATCACTATACATAAAATTATGCAATATTAAAATTGTTTATGCTATTATCCTTATTTCTAGGCAAATTTGTTACTAAAGAATTCATTACCTGTGTAAAAGAAACATGTGTTAAATTTACAGTCTTACATCACTATACATAAAATTATGCAATATTAAAATTGTTTATGCTATTATCCTTATTTCTAGGCAAATTTGTTACTAAAGAATTCATTACCTGTGTAAAAGAAACATGTGTTAAATTTACAGTCTTACATCACTATACATAAAATTATGCAATATTAAAATTGTTTATGCTATTATCCTTATTTCTAGGCAAATTTGTTACTAAAGAATTCATTACCTGTGTAAAAGAAACATGTGTTAAATTTACAGTCTTACATCACTATACATAAAATTATGCAATATTAAAATTGTTTATGCTATTATCCTTATTTCTAGGCAAATTTGTTACTAAAGAATTCATTACCTGTGTAAAAGAAACATGTGTTAAATTTACAGTCTTACATCACTATACATAAAATTATGCAATATTAAAATTGTTTATGCTATTATCCTTATTTCTAGGCAAATTTGTTACTAAAGAATTCATTACCTGTGTAAAAGAAACATGTGTTAAATTTACAGTCTTACATCACTATACATAAAATTATGCAATATTAAAATTGTTTATGCTATTATCCTTATTTCTAGGCAAATTTGTTACTAAAGAATTCATTACCTGTGTAAAAGAAACATGTGTTAAATTTACAGTCTTACATCACTATACATAAAATTATGCAATATTAAAATTGTTTATGCTATTATCCTTATTTCTAGGCAAATTTGTTACTAAAGAATTCATTACCTGTGTAAAAGAAACATGTGTTAAATTTACAGTCTTACATCACTATACATAAAATTATGCAATATTAAAATTGTTTATGCTATTATCCTTATTTCTAGGCAAATTTGTTACTAAAGAATTCATTACCTGTGTAAAAGAAACATGTGTTAAATTTACAGTCTTACATCACTATACATAAAATTATGCAATATTAAAATTGTTTATGTTATTATCCTTATTTCTAGGCAAATTTGTTACTAAAGAATTCATTACCTGTGTAAAAGAAACATGTGTTAAATTTACAGTCTTACATCACTATACATAAAATTATGCAATATTAAAATTGTTTATGCTATTATCCTTATTTCTAGGCAAATTTGTTACTAAAGAATTCATTACCTGTGTAAAAGAAACATGTGTTAAATTTACAGTCTTACATCACTATACATAAAATTATGCAATATTAAAATTGTTTANTCTATACAGCACTGAATGCCTGGATGACTACAATGAAATGAAGAAAATGTGAACACAGGTAGTAGCAACTGCTCTGCTGGATCACTTGAAGGGACTAAGGGATATCATGAAAACCTTGGTTGGAATAAGATCTAAAAGCCTGTGACAATGGTACACTAATCATGATATTATCCAGCACCCCAATTGTTGTGATATGATGTTTCAAAGCACGAACCTCGTTTCTATTCCCAGACAAAAATCCTACACTGTTGGGTCTACTCTTTTCTTAAATGTGGGTAGAGGAGGAGTCCAGTGCCCAAAATATCATATTTAACAGCACTTAGGATGATGGATAATGTTCAGAAAACTGATCACTGTACTCAGCCTAGATAGAATCATGGCCAAGATTCAAACCAGGTGCCTTCCAAACAAAACTCAGAAATGTTACTGCTTGGGCCAACTTGCTCACTTCAGGTGCGCTCAGTCAAACGTGGAGCCAAGCCCCAAAATGTCATACATATCAAATAAGCCTTGACAATGTACGACACTCAGTACTCTAACATAAGGTCAAACCATTTACCTCGAGACTGTCACTGCCATCTGCCTCACGATCTATTATGTCAAAGATTTCCTCTTGCAATCTCTCACCCTGGCTGTAGCCAGATGCCCAGTTGTTACCAGCACCTCCACCATGTTTTGACAGATATATGTTCTCTGGGTTGTACAGCTATAACAATCACTACATATTAGGAAGTCATTCCTAAAGTCAGAAACATTCATGTTAAGTAAACACAGTGGAACTAATTACCTTAGCATAGGGAGAATTCATGATAGTGTGGATTACTCGTGGCTCCAAATCCAACAGAACAGCTCGGGGAATATAATGTTCATCATCCGCCTATAATCAGAGAACACAAGGGCATTAACTAACTTGGAGTATTAACCTAACATCAGTAAAAGTATCAACAGAAGTGACTAGCACCACAGTAATCTAACCTGATAGAAAAACACATCTTTGCGGTCTGTTCCTTCTGTAGCATATTCCTCTAATATTCCTTCAGGGCTAATACCATGCTCTGCACACAGCCTCTTCCAAAACTCAAAGCCAACTGTAAAACATCAACAAAAAACAATCCAAAGTATAATACAATGGCGATTTCCTTTGTAGCTTGTGCCGCTTTTGTAGTGAACACATCTAACAGAAGGTATAGTTATACCTTCGGTAATTTGAAGATATTTGGCTCGGGTGGGGTTTTATTATGTTTGTTTAGTTTCTAATGTGTTATGTTGGTGCTTTAATCTGGTACAACGGTACCAGCACTCAAAGTCTCTTTCTCGTAAGGCTGCGAGGATAGCATGTTGGACTTCGTATTTCCTAAGCATTTCAGATTTTCGAAAATGCACTGGTTACCATAACCTCTATGTGTCCTAAAATATACTACTTCCAAGATCAGAGAGCTTATAAAATTCATGTTACACCACACGACTTCGTCTGCTGTCAGAACTGAACAAGACACTTACTCTGGTTGCCACACTGACCGAGTTGAAGAGTTATCATTTCACAAGGCATTTTGCATGTAAATTTTATTTTCCGACAAAAGTATAAATTAAATCGTAAAACTGCGTAAACTGATGTGAAGTAACGATCTCCACACATCTACTCTTCACGCATGTCTCTTACTAGTTTTACGTATATTGATGGCGCCAATATTTAGTTTCGTGCTCTGATTGGTCATCTCTAGAGGATTAGCGGGATTAGTAAGTGACGCTGCTCACACTGTAAGAAGTCAAGGTTACTATATACCACAGCTACTACAGTTACTTCCAGATTACGGATGTTCCGGATCTTTCGGATGGTGCTGCAGTACAGATTGGAAACAAATCAAGTGCTGCTACTGTCACCGATAAAACAGGGCATTCACGTATTCACGTACGTTCACGTACTTCACGTCCTAGTTCCAACTGCAAAGTGTAATGTATTAGGTGATTGTGGACTTAAGAAAGTCAAAAAATAAAATACGTGTACAAGGTATTTCCTCTTACTTCTTATCCCAAATTTCGGTAAACAATTCGAAAACAGGAAAACCTTATTTAGATATAAATGAGAAACATTTAGGATTCACCATAATTTCAAACACAGACAAGTTTCATCGTCTGGGACATAGTGCCATATTGTCCGTTGAAAGTTAACTTACATTTCAGAGGAAAGTGTACCGTCAATCTTCCTTGCTGGAAAGAAAATCAAGTAAGAAATCAGCACGAGGAAGGTAGCAAGCAATTATAATTAAGATTATAGTTCCGATCTTATTTCTCTCTCTCTGTATACACAAGTATATATATAATCTAAATACAGATTCATTCAAAACAAAACATATACTAGATCTGTGAAAAGAAAACAACGCGGTGGAGTAAAATGTATGTATTAGAATCTTTCAAATTCCAATGCTGTAATGTGTAGGGAAATTCTTGTAACACAAACTATGTTGGTAGCTAGCAGATAGGAAGAGCCGGAATGTGCGTGGGGTATAATTGACAGGTTCGCAAGTTTATACGAATGGGTATAGGGAATAGTGAGTAAATTTGGTGGAATAAGCGTGTGAAACTTTCTGGCAATTATAAGAATGCAAGGAGCTATACTGGAGAACCTGAGCGGCAAGAAGTTGGCAATTCTCGTAAGCTTTCTGTTAGTATGTCAGGTAACATGCTTTTTGATTGGAGGACTTGTTGCCCCTACACCTGCATCTGCTGAAAATTGGTTGGCTACTAAATGTCGTCAACGAGAAAACGATACGCGAGAGTGGTTATATCCCAGAGGTAAAGGACACTGTGAGACCATTGATTCTCTTGATATGTACAGAGCACCTGATTCTGATCATCGCAAAGCTGATCGTGAAAACTTAAAAGCAAGCGAACTTGTATTTGCATTTCAAATTCCGGTACCTCGGAACAATATGACACTTGATTACTCACGCTGGCAGCAAAATCTGATAGGAGTTTTACAGTTTGATATAATGTATCATCCAGATGCCGAAATGGAAGAGCGTGTTGTGGTAACAATAGATGCAAGATTGGCATATCGAAACAAAGGAGATCCAGACGGTGCATGGAAACATTACGCCTCATCTGTCGAAGAAAGGATTCTGGATTGCACAATGGCACACAAGGAGGAAGGGTTTCATTATGACTGTTCTATTGTTCCGTTGTTCGAGCTGGGGTCCCTCCATCACGACTTCTACCTGCTTAACATTCGTCTCCCTGTAGGAGCTGATAAAAAAATGAACCAGGGGCTTGGTCATGTGGAAGACATATGGCTTGTTGCCATAAATCAGAATGGTGGATTTACAAAGGTTTGGGTTACAATAAAATCTGCCTTTTTTCCATGTATAATTGCAATAATGATTTGGTTCTGGAAGAGAGTGCATCAGTTGTCTAGGTCACCAGCACTCTTGGAGCACATGCTTATGTTTCTTGGTGTTACCCTCACATTCCTCAATATGCCACTTGAGTTTCTGACCCTGGCCTTTGATATGCCCTTCATGTTACTTCTCGGTGATATCCGACAGGGAATATTCTATGCTGCTCTGCTGTCCTTCTGGTTGGTGTTTGCTGGTGAGCATCTCATGATCCAGGATTGTGCTGATAGCAACACTCTTCGGTATTACTGGAAGCATTTGAGTGCAGTGGCCATTGGGTGCCTCTCCATGTTCATATTTGACATGTGTGAGCGGGGTGTTCAGCTCCAGAATCCTTTCTATTCTATCTGGGTCACTGATCTTGGCACAAACCTCGCTCTGACATTCATAATCCTTGCTGGAATTTCAGCTGGCGTATACTTTTTGTTCTTGTCGTACATGATCTGGAAAGTTTTCTGCAACATAAGTGCCAAGCGTACGGTCCTCCCGAGTATGTCCAGCGCCCGGAGGCTTCATTATGAAGGTGTCATATACAGATTCAAGTTCTTGATGTTGGCAACACTGCTTTGTGCTGCTATGACCATCACAGGATTCATTTTGGGGCAGGTGTCGGAGGGACGCTGGAAGTGGGATGACCACTTGGTGCTCGAGTTTACGTCTGCTTTCTTCACTGGCGTGTACGGCATGTGGAACATTTACATCTTTGCTCTGATCGTGCTCTATGCTCCCTCACACAAGCAGTGGCCTGCAGAGGGCGAACACCGTGGAAGTGTTAATGAGGAGATAGAGTTTAGTCGTCTGCCCACAGACCCCAGTGAGATATCATCATTGACAACTTTTGCAAGGAAGTCTGCTATGGATTGAATCAGCTGGTTTGTAATTTATTCTGTTTGCTAAAAAAGTATGTGTCTTCATATCCAGTTATCAGTATGAGACTGCAGTTCACAGTAATGTGAGCAGTCACAGGTAGACTGCATTAGAGATGAATATGGTAATTGTGTCATAACAGTTTTTAAACTTTCTGAAATCTGTGGCTTACTACAGATGAGCCAGGATAGTGTAGTTGGTATAGAGACTGGCTATGGGCTGGACGACCGAGGGGTTGGAATTCAAGTCCTGGCAGGGTCAAGAATTTTTTCTTCCCCATGTCGTCCAGACCAGTTCTGGGGTCCACCCAACCTCCTATCCAATGGGCACCAGGGGCTCGTTCCCCGGGGGTAAATCAGCTGGGCCGTGAAGCTAACCACTCACCTCCAGCTAGTGCCGAAGTCAAGAAATGTGGATCTGTACATCCACTCCCCCATACGCCTTCATGATGTAGTGCATAATTGGTTAAGCACAGGGACAACTTTACTTTTTTGTGGCTTGTTACAGACGTAATGGCTGCAGGATTTCCTCTGCTCTGTTTTTCAGTATTGTTACATTTATTCTTTTGTTGGAGAGAAGCCAGAATGTAAGTCAGTGCATACTCAGAACTTACTCACAAGAGATACAAAGAAATCTTTATTAGTATGAGAAATATGACTGTGTATTATATATATGTCATCTTTGCTAGCATGTAATCGTCAGGTAATCATGTGCAGCATTGCATTATCTTTAGGAAGTTAACTAGGATCTGTTTTCACCATATGAAAGGGACCAAAATTGTCATAACTGAGGTCACATTGAATAGACAGGATTTCCTTCCATAACATACAGCATACCCTCGAGATATTTTAGATGCCCAGTATTAGTATCCTAATGTTCAGACACTTGGAGGTGCAGTAGAATGTTGATTGTCTGAATTGCTAATTAACCGAGTCACCACAACCAAGGAATGCATCTACTAAACAAGCATCACTGTTGGACTTTTTCAAGTAAAGTGTTTGAAAGTGTTAATTTGTAATTACTTTTATTAATTTTCATGTTTCACCTGTTCTAAAAGTTTTCTTGTTTTATTCTTGTATAGTACAATACATTATATAGTGTTACAATAAGGTTTTTCGTGGATAACAGTTCAATCCCGTTAGCCTCATTTTGGATTATCTGAACTACCCTTATCAGTAATTAATTTGGATAATCAGTATTCTACTGTACAGTGGAAGCCCCATTTAAGGTTTTCCCACACTCAGCATTCAGGTTCAGTGATCCCAAGTCAACACTCTCAGCATTAAATTTCTACCATTTAAGATTCAATTCAGTTCGGTGTTCCAATCCACTGGTGCCAGTGGAAACCTTAAAAGGGGTCTGCAGTGGTCCAGTCATCTTATGGCATCCTAGTATAGTTTAGTAATTGATATTTTGCTGCCTTTGCAGATCAGATCAAACATTCATTACAAGTAGTAAAAGTAAAGGAAGATTGTGGAAATTTCCAGTCATTAACCCTTCCTGGACCAAGTCAAATTTAATTTGAGATTCCTATAGGAGTGGAGTCTTGTGGAGGCAGTATATGCCTCCAGAATGCTGCTCTGTCTCTAGACTACATGGTGTTACAATCTGGAAGACTGCACACTTGATACATAGTTGCAGTTTGTTCTGTTTTGTTCCCAGACTAGCACTGAATGCACTAACATTGTATGTCATTTGAATGTTTGAATATTTGCACCAGTTCTAAGAATGTAAATTAAAGAGGATTTGTGTGCAGTGCTCACCCCTTTATTTGAATGTTACCTGCCTCTTACTGTGAAGTTTGGCTTTGATATAGTCTAGTTGCTTTGCTGTAATACTGCTCTGTTCTGCACAGTCTGTACTGAGTCTTGCAGAAAGACGTCCCATAGATCAATTCCCTTCACATCTCCCTCAAACTTTTATGCTTCCCCTTATAGCATACTGCTCAAGTTTCCCTCCAGTCCTCTTAGCCATTTGGTTCCCAATAAATGTTGGTTAGAAATGACCTTCAGTGGCAGCAAGACCTTCAGGCTGGTTAACATAGGTCTGAGGGGGCTAGAGAGGAATGCATAGTATGCAAAAAGGAGAAACTTTGATCACTGTCAAGTCTAGCATCCATGCAATTTCAAACATTTTACTTTGTGCAAAATGTATGTTAAGTGGGATGTTTACATACATAATCCTCTGTTGTTTCTGTTGGTGTCTTTGAGACAGCATTTTCATCTTTTTGCATGCATCTCCTGCATCTATTACAATTTCTATATTCAGTATTTATATATATTCAGTTTGAAAAAAAACTGTTATTATTATTATTATTATTATTATTATTATTAAATTGGAATTTTGGGTGTGTGCTGGCCTGTAATGTTTTTTGCAGTGTTTCACTTCTTCTTTGCCAGAAGGTTGCTATAAGTGCCCCCTTCCCCTGAAAATCATGTTTTTGGTTACTCTGTGACCTTTAATTTTTGGTGATATGCATTAGTTGTTTTGTGGAATGTATATTGGTTGAAAAAGGTCCTGGTTGTCATATAGTTATAGCTGCTGACAGCTTCGTTAAGTAAATGGATATGTTACTGCACTTACTGTGACAGAGGGTGCCATTATCTGAATATTGGTTGGAGCAGTGTCACTCTCAGTTCTCCCACAACCTGAAGTATAGGAGATTACCAGGTCACAGTTCAGTATGGTAACCAGTTTAAGAAGTAAATACTCTTAATTATGTTAGAAGAATGCCGTTTTCTGGAATGTGGCACCATGTAGATATTGTATACACCGATGTAAAGATCCGCAAGTGAGGAACCAACATGAGCATGTGGCTGCAGTCTGTGATATGTTCCTCCCACACGTCGGTTTACACAATATCTACACGGCACCACATCCCAGAAGATGGTATTTTTCATAGTCACCGCCGTGAAAACATCAAATCTTACTTAATTATGCTTGTTTACTTCATAATTGAAAATTACAAAACTGAAATCTGATTCTCATAGCAAATCCTTGCTGCTCAGTTCTGCTCCATGAAAAAGAATCTCTGAACTTATCTAAAATGATGGTGAATTTGTTGCTGTATTAGCAGAACTCAACAGTGTTGCCATGGTCACCTGAACATAGCTGTTTTAATTGATATGTGACCACGTTACTGTAGCATTAGTCTTGTAACGCTTGCTCTGAACATTTTATTCCGTCTGCACAGTACTTATCAGTCTTTCAAGTGGGATGCAATGTAATTAGCCATTTTTGTAATGTTTTATACTATTTTTATATGTGACTTCTTAATTTTACTGTAGGCGATTTTAGTATCTTATTTTTGATAATCTTGTTTATTGTCTTTACATTGAAATGTTCAAGTTGTAACCATTAGATATTTTAATGCCAGACAGTTATCCAGTGACATGCCCATGTATATGTGCGCACAGACTTGAGTCACCAAAAGAGGTGTTGCCCTGTACAGTGACCAGTTTAAACCTGTTTGGAAGTGGAGAGTTAATTTAAATGAAGACATTGTCTGCAAGGATGTCATGAGGCTTAGTTTGTTAGAAGTTTACTGACATTTTGGAGGGAAATGCTCTACTAGGCTATACAGTGTTACATGCCAGAAGATAATCCTCCTCTTAGTTACTGCTGTGAGGACCTCAGACCCTACATAATTTCTTTGATATGTTCGCACATTTTATTCTTACAAATTTTGAATGCCTTTATCTTCAGAATGTCACCACTTCTGACCTTATACTTACTGCCCTCTAATTTGAAGTGACATTTCACTTCAGGCTGAGAACATGAAGTCTGGACGTGAATAGTGAAACAAGCAGAAGTATCCATTCTTGGTGCGGTATATAGTTGCTTTCCCCGTCAGTATCACCATAAATTAGCTAAAACTTTCTATGAGGAATAATGCTCATATTAAGAAACTGAAGTGTATTTATGTACTTAAAGAAGTAAATATTCAAATCATGCTCAAAAACTCTATTGCAATCCTTGCACATTGCTTTAAGAGCTGTGGCGACCTTACATATTGGCAAGAGTATTGATTAAATTTCACATGTCTGGGTTCTCTGTTACATCTGTAGTTGGAAATGGAAGAGCCCAAGGTCAGTGTCACTTTTTTCTTAAATTAGTTCGGGATCATGGGGAGTGGCAATGGGCTGCAAAGTTTTTACGAACACAGTACTTAAAATAGTTATATTTAAGCATCCTGTTGCACTTTATACGATATATGATGTAACTCCGTCCTAAGTGCAAACTATATTTATAGGTCTTTCGTTTTGTTCTTCTTTATACACTACATGTTTCGGCCCCAGACGGCCATCATCAGGTGTATACACTCACGTATCTGTTACACTGCACTTATTTATAACATTTAAAATTTAAAAACATAGGTCTTCCTGATTAGCACTTATGAAATCTTCGGTTCTAATTTTAAATCCTTTAAAAATTTTTCTCTAAATTTTAAAATTTAAAAATGTCAGATATAATGTCCTAGATATAACAATACATCGTAAGGAAGATAGTTTGCAATTTGCAATATATAGGAAACCCACACAGACAAACATCATAATACCTAACAGTTCGTGCCATCCATTTGAGCACAAATTATCAGGTATTAATTACCTAATAAATAGACTCTACACATAACCAACAACAGAAAAAGGAAAACAAATAGAGAAGAACACTATTAAAAACATACTACATAACAATGGATACGCCACAGACATAATCAAAAGATCAAATCAGACAAAATGAAAACAAAACTCAAACACATATGACAACGAAAAACAAAAAACAAAGGGGGCCACATTTACATATAGTACAAAAGAAGTGAGAGAAATTACAAAACTTGTCAAAGACACAGATAAAAGTAGCATTCCGCACACGAAATACAATAGAAAATATACTCAAACAAAAACCACAATTAGATAAATACAATAAAAGTGGCATATACCAAATGAAATGTGTAGATTGCCCATTGAAATACATTGTGCAAACGGGCAGAAGATTTAACACCAGATATAAAGAACATATACATGATATTAGAAATAATAATAGCAATTCTGGGTACTCAAATCACATACTAAATACAGGACATGCATACAGAACAATAACAGAGGTAATGGAAGTTGTAACAACGGGAAAGAAGGGCAGACATTTGAATACATTAGAGAAATATCATATATATAAAATAAATAAGGAAGGTCTACACACGAATGACACACACATAGAAAAACACAATCCCATCTTTCAAACGATACACG